TTTAAAAAAAGAATATAATTGTTAATATGTAGCACTGGGTTAAGAGAGTTAACCTTACTTAAGAACCTTAATTAGGTTAACTCTCTTAACCCAGTGCTACATATTAACAATTATATTCTTTTTTTAAAAAAAAAAACATTTTACAGAATTGTTAAAAACATTTACTCCATTGGTAGAAAGGCTCGGATTTGATGAAAATTTTGTGGATATCACTGAATTGGTTGAAAAGAGACTGAAAGAGTGGAAAAAAGCAACGCTTCCTAACATCTCTGTTTCTGGTCATGTATATAATAATCAGAGTAAGTACTTTTTTTTTTAACCTCAAATGTCATACTTGCACATCAAAGCCCATCATAATACTGCATTGATAACGCAAAGCACATTTCCTCCGGGATTGGGCGGCCTATAAATCTACTAAATAAATAAATTTCCAGCATAGAATGACATTCAAGCTTGACGTAAAAAATACAGGTAGTCCTCAACTTACAACAGTTCATTTAGTGACTGTTCAAAGTTACAACGGAACTGGAAAAAAAGCGACTTACGACCATTTTTCACAGCTACAATGTTTGCAGCGTTCCCTGTGATCAAAATTCAGATGCTGGGCAACTGGTTCATATTTATGACTGTTGCTGAATCTCAAAAGTCACGTGCTCCCCTTTTGCGACCTTCTGGCAAAGTCAGTGGGGAATTCACTTAACAACCGGGTTATTAACGTATCAAGTGCAGTGATTCATTTGCCAACTGATGCAAGAAAGGTCATAAAATGGGGCAAAACTCACTTAACGAAATGTCTCACTTAACAGAAATGTTGGCTTCAATTGCATTTGTAAGCCGAGGACTACCTGTATACAGATAGTGCTTGACTTACAACTACTCATTTAGCAACCATTCAAAGTTACAGTGACACTGAAAAAAATAGCAATAGCACTTAGACTTAGATATCACTTTACAGTGCTTTACAGCCCTCTCTAAGCACTTTACAGAGTCAGCATATTGCCCCCAAAATCTGGGTCCTCATTTTATCCACCTCGGAAGGATGGAAGGCTGAGTCAATATTGAGTCAGTGAGATTTGAACTGCTAAACTGCAGCTAGCAGTCAGCTGAAGTAGCCTGCAGTACTGCACTCTAACCACTGCGCCATCAAGGCTCTTGACCTATGATGGTCCTTCCACATGACCACTGCAGCATCACCACAGTCATGTGATGTTTCCTGCCTAAGCAACGGGTTGGACTAGAAGACCTCCAAGGTCCCTTCCAACTCTGTTATTCTATGAAACCTGGGCCCTTGGCAACCAACATATATTTATAACAATTGCAGCTTCCTTACGGTTAGGGAAACACCATTTTCAACCTTCCCTGCTGACTTCCACCAAGGAAAGTCAATTGGGGAAACTGGATTTACCGTACTTTTCGGACCATAAGACACACTTTTTCCCCCCTGAAAGAGGGTGGAAATGTTGGTGCGTCTGATACACTGAATACAATCATTTTTGGCCTCCCAAAACCCCACCCCGCACATCCATTTTTGGCAAAAACAGGGCACACAGAGGGTTTGGAAGGCCTGCAGAGTGCTCCTTGGGGGCTGGAGAGAGCAAAAATGTCACTCCTGAGGGATTTGGGAGACTAAAACAGACTCATTTTTCACCCAATTTTTGGAAAAAACAGGGCACGCGGAAGGTTCCTGGGGGCTGAAGAGAGCAAAAACCAGACGCACGGAGGCCAAAAACTATTTTTTTCTTGTTTTTCTCTTTGAAATCTTGGTGCGTCTTATACTCCAGTGCGTCTTATAGTCCGAAAAATATGGTTCTTAACAACTGTGCAATTTACTTAACAATTGGGGATGTAAGTGGAGGATTACTTGTACATATATTTGGCAACCAACTCATATTTATGACCCCCATTTCAACCCTGAACTACAATTATTCTCTTTTATTGGTAAGGATAAATCTGCCAGGTGATCTCTTGAGATTTTTCCCCTCCTGTTTCCTTCACAGCTGTTGATTTCCATGAGCCAATGCATGGAAGGCTAGCTATAGGATCTCAGATTGCAGAGGAGATGAGAGATGCCATGGGCAGCAGGCTGGGGCTCACGGGCTGCGCCGGAGTGGCCACCAATAAAGTCCTTGCCAAGCTGGTCTCTGGGACCTTTAAACCAAATCAGCAGACAGTTCTTCTGCCTGAGAACCGGCAAAACCTGATGGCCAGCCTCAATCACATAAGGAAAATACCAGGTGAGCTGACCTTGAGTTTTGAAGATAAGTGTCAACTTGCAAAGCATTCCTGGCCTGCTCTCGAGTTGCCATAGGCAAGGGGGATGGGAAAACTGATGAAGCAGCACAGCAGCCACAAACAGAGGCACATTCCAGGTATCTTTCTATTTTTAACTTTTAATTTTTACCTTGTCTTGAAAGCCGCCCAGAGTCCTACGGGATTGGGCGGCATACAAATCTATTAAATTTCAATTTTCAATTTTCAAATCTCTTTCTCAAAGCTGTCTTCCAGGATACCCATAGCAGCCAGTGGAGTGATCTCTGTAGCCCACGAAAGTACTCCGGAGCATGTGATTTATGACACACCCTGGGGAAAGGGGGGGAACAGGGTTATAATTGAGCCGTAAATTACCTGGAGTCAGAGTTGGCTTCACTTGGGTACTTTACTTGCCGACATGTTGCTGCTAATCAATAACTGGATTTCTTTTGAAGCTTGGCTAGAAGCTCATGATTTAATTAGGGCCTCCATCAGAACCCTGACAATAAGATTGGACTGGACTTGAGAAATATTGCAGCTTTTTCAATATAGGCTTATTTACATTTCATATGTTACATGTCACTCCCTAGATCAGGGGTGTCAAACTCAAGGCCCGGGGAGTGGATCCGGCCCATGGGGTGTTTAGATCTGGCCCGCAGGACCGCCCTGAAAATAGCGAAGGACTGGCCCATGGTACCTGTACCAGGGAAAACTGAGCTCTTTCGCTGGCAAAGGGTTGCAGGAGGATGTCGCAGCTGAAAACGGAGCTCGACAGCCCATTTTCAGTGGCAGAGTGCTCGGGCCACCACAGGTAACCCCAACACGAGTGACGTTGAGCTGGCCATGGCTACCCCGAGGTCGAACACAACACTGTTGTGGCCCTCAGTGAAATTGAGTTTGACACCCCTGTTCTAGATGAAATTAAAATGAGAACATTTAATGAATATTGGGCTTTAATATGCACATTTGAAGATATTTTATGAATTGGTGTGATTTTCTTTAAAGTTAGAGAGAAGTGATTGTATTGTTAATATCTTTGTGCTAAAAAAAAGGGGGGTCACTTATGTTACATTTGTTTGATGTATTTTGTTAACTTGTTTTGTCACTCCCTTTCCCCTTCGTGTTAATTTGTATTTTAATGTATGATGTCTTAAGTTCCTCTTCAGGTATGAAAGCCACTGAGCCATGGTAGCTCAGTGGTTAGAAGGCAGTACTGCAGGCTAATTCTGCCGACTGCCAGCAGTTCCATTCTCACCAGACTCAAGGCTGACTCAACCTTCCATCATTCTGAGGTTGTTAAAGTGAGGGCCCAGATTGTTGGGGGCAATATGCTGGTTTTGTAAACTGCTTAGAGCGGGCTGTAAAGCACTATGAAGCGGTATATAAGTCTAAGTGAGATTGCTATTGCTATTAAAGCCTAATAAAGATATTATAATTTAAAAAAAGGAAAATACCAAGTAAGATGGGGAAACAAACAAACTTGTTTTGGCTTTGATACATGCTTAAAGGTCCGTGATGGCAAACCAATGGCACGCATGCCACATGTGGCACACACAACCATCTCAGTGGGCTCATGAGCCATCATCCCAGTTTAGCTCCTCCTCACATGCGTGTGGCCAGCTGATTTTAGGGTCTCTGCCATGCATGTGTGGGGGCAAGGCACATGTGGGAGACGTGTGTGCATGCGTGGGGTGAGGTGTATGCATGGGGGAGGGGGCATGCATGTGCAGGGTGTGCGTCACGCCCCCCCCCCACGTCCATTTTTGGTTCCAGGAGGCTGCAGGGAGGCTTGCTAGGCCCAAAACGGGGCACAGGGGGGTCACACACGCATGCATGGGGGGAGGTGCAGGGGGTCGCATGCACATGTGTAAGCAGAAAGGGGGGTTCACGTGTTCATTACATTATGAATGCAGGTTAGCCATTACTTATATGGCTAGGAGCTGAGGTGGCGCAGTGGTTAAATGCAGCACTACAGGCTACTTCAGCTGACTGCAGTTCTGCAGTTCGGCTGTTCAAATCTCACCGGCTCAGGGTTGACTCAGCCTTCCATCCTTCTGAGATGGGTAAAATGAGGACCCGGATTGTT